GCCTGCGCCTGCGCGCCCCGCAACCCCGAAACCCGGGGACCAGACGCGGTCCCTCCCTTCCGCCCCCCAGAGCCGGGCGGCGCATCTGCCGCGCGCTCCGGGAAGGCAGCCACAGCCCGGGTCGATTCCCAACACCAGGGCTTACTCTGTCACCTCCCCCTTTATCCCTACCATTACTCACTCCACACTGCCCTGGTATCCACTGAATGTGAGTAAAATGGGTACAGTTCCCTTCACTTTGGCACATCACATACTGAAGTGGTGAGTTTAAGGGTCCCCTGGAGAAACAGACTGGTACTCAGACAAGTTAGCTGTTTATTATTAGAAGAACCATTGTTGGCCTCTGACTTCTGACAACTTCACCTCCGCCCACAGCTTCCTCTCTACTTCTTCCCTTCATAAGTCCTGAACTTTTGTCCTTGGTGATTCTTTTTTCTTTGTCAATGTTGTGAATCAACCACCTTTCATTAACTCTTCGATGGGAATGAGTCCTCTTGAAAATAAAAACTGTATACATGTGAATAAAACTGAAGTTAGAATCAAGAGCTTTACTTCTCTTCAGCAATTGGCCCATTTTGGTTACTCCAGAGGAAGCAAGACCACACCTCTCTTTTCTGTCCTGGCCACTGGTTCATGATCTGAGTCTGACCCCACGTCCCATGCAGCCTTTAGGATCACTGGAGTTTTCATGCAACTTGGCACACATTTCTGTACGCATTAGTTCACGAAGCAACAAACACGCTTCATCCGGGACACTTTCTTGAAATTAAAGGGTTAGCAATCAGGCCCCTAAGGGTCACTCCATACACAGCCCACACGTGTATAAGCACGGATCTCAAAACTGTCTCCCTCACAATGGGTACGGTCACTGAGGGCCAGTCTGAGCCTTCATCAGAAACTGACACCCAGTAGCGCCCAGTTTTATGAGTATAATCACAGCACACTTCAGTGATGTTAACTGTCCATTCAAGGAACCAGTCAAAATGAACAGAAGCAGCACATGGGGCTGTCAGTGCAAACAGCCTTTACTCCATGCGTTTTGGAGTGATGATACTGGATCAGTCTGCTAATAATAACAGTGCATTTTCAGGGAAGCAGCGAAGGCAGGGCACTTAAGAGGTTGGCCTCTGGAGCCAAGACTGCCTGAATTCGCATCCTAGCTCTGCCACTTCCTACGACCTTGGGGAGAGTCCTCCCTCTCAGCAGACCCCGGGGCTGAAAAATGGAGAAGATAACAGTACCTACTTCCTGGGGTTGTTGGGAGCCTAAACAAGGTAACATATTAGGTGCTTCTGAGAACATTTGCCATCACAGTCAACTCTCAGCAACAGAGCATCTTTCATGAGCCAAAGAATCTGCAAAATATTTTGCATGAACTACTTTGTTTAATCACCACAACCACGACCCTTTGATAGAGGAGATGAAGCTGAGAAGTGTTCAGTAAGTTGTCCAAGAAAACAAAACAATTAAAGTCCAAAATCTGACTCAGGCTAAGACCCCTCAATTCTAATTTCAAAGGATTCACATGGGACAAAGACCCAAGTTTTAAAACAGCACTGTCACGATCAAACCATGTACCTTTACAGGCACTTCCAGACTGAAAAACCCAACTTACAATATCCTGTAGATAAAAATAGCAGATCTGTTATATTGTTATGTTAAAGGCATTTATACAATGGGTACCACAAAGCCCTATCCTTACATTTTATCACATCATTCTCACCTTGACCCCGAGAGGCCGGGAGGGCATTTATGAGAGACTCTAATTTTTAAATAAAGACACGAAAATAAATGCAAAAGCGCTTTTAAAACTATAAAGTATCCAATGTGTGAACCCATCATCAGTAAGACTTTCCGAAATGTAAATCTGATGATGTCATTGCACTGCTTAAAAACTGTTCGGTGATTTCCCACCACTGACAGCATAAAGCGTCCAGTCTCCTCAGAATGGCCCGAAAGCATCCTCGCCGTTCCCGCTATCTCCTACATGTCCCCCACTGATGACTTGCAGTTTCCATCTGAGCCCATCTTCCTACTGTGTCCTGGAGCGCCATCCCTCTGAAGTGACCCTCCCTTTCACCCTAACTTCATCAACCGCACCTCAAGTGACGGTCCCCTCAGAGCCTTTCTGGAGCCTCCCTCGCCTCCCCACTCCAGCAAGTTAATCAGACCCTCCTCTGAGTTCTTTTAATACAGGTCCTCACAGCCATCACATCACAAATGATCTCTTTGTAACTGGCTCCCAGCACATCCCTTGTCAGGTTAGACTAGGACTTATTTAAAGGCAGAATTCTGTGCTTGTCTTCATTTTATTCCAGGGGCTCAATAAATATGTATTAAAAGTGAGTGACTGACGGAATCCCACAGACCACATGGTCTTTCTGACTCTAGACACTTGCACCTTCAACTCTATTTTTACAACCTCAGCGACAAATAAGAATCTCAAACTTTCAATTGCTTTCTTACTAAGTAACAAACACTACGGACATCCTCACATCGTTTTGGACCCTCACCCCGTCTCTTACTAGGGATGAACTTCACAGGCGGGCTGAGTTTCAGGCAAAGTGTGAACATGTCTAATAAAATTAGAAGTTGAAGTCTTCATGGTATGTTTTCCAACTTTCCACAGCATGAAATTCCCTCAGATGCCCTGTTCCCTCACGCTGGGTGACCTGTGGCAAATTTAACACCTAACATATCTGAATTTCATATTTTAGCCATATTATGATTAAACAGATATTTGTAGCCTGGCCCCTGAGTGTACATTCCATGTGTAATTACTGTGTATGGTTTATGCGGCCAATTTGCCAATATTTATTTTAAACAAGGTGAGTAGTACCCTTCCGTACCAGGGCTGCTCGTTCTGTTTGTGGGGTTTTGTTCAGTTCTATTTTTTGAAGAATAAATATGATCTCCAAACTACGAAACTCTTGAGGTCACAAGTGCACCGCTGATTTCATGGCAAACGTTTTACAATAAGGAAGATGTGGCCCCTGCCCTCACGTAGCCTACAGTCAGCCAACACCAGCCCGTTTGTCCACTGCACCCCATCAGAACCCCCCCGTTCCTGCACTCCCTCTCCACCGACAGGGGATTCTGACCCTAGTGCCAGCAGCTTCTCATGAGTCTGTCTAGTAGTTTATATGATCTCATTCCCCCAACAAACACCTCCCCTTCCTTCTCTCAGAGCCCTTCCTTCAGGGGGAGGGTATGGCTCCGTGGTAGAGCGCATGCCTAGCATGCATGAGGTCCTGGGTTCAATCCCCAGTCCCTCCATTCAAATAAACAAATAAATAAATGAACCTAATTACCTGCCCCCCCAAACAATAATTTTAAAAACTAAAAAAAATTTTTAAAAAGAGCCCCTCCTTCACTACCAGAAGCAAAAGCAAAGTCTCCGTCCCTCCCACCTCCATCTAAACACTCAGGCCAGGAGAACCTTCTTCTTTCCATTAAAAATGCCAGGAACAGGCATCCTGTCTTGATGGCCCAGGCTTTTTACGAAGCCCAACAACTTCCCATCACCCTGCTTTCACCATCTTCCCTTTCCGCTGAGGCAGATACCTGGTACCTGCACTGTTTCCTCCTCTCCCCTGCAAGGGTATCCTGACAGGGCCAGGAGTAAGGCCTGAGTGACTAAACATTTTCTGGTACTCACCCAGCTCTCGCCTCTCTCCCAGGCCACCCCCTCACTCTCACTTGGCTCCCAGACTGTCTCCATCCCCCCCATCCGGTGCCACCCACCTCTTCAAAGGCCTGGGGTGAGACCAGCCAGCATCTCACAACAGAAGCCAGAAGAAACTCAAGGCTGTTGCCCCAGAAACCCAGACTAGAGACTGGCTGGCTGGGCGCTGTTTGTTTTTCCCGGAATCAGAAAATCCCACGGTGGGGACGCTAGGGGGACTCTCAGCCGCCATGGTGGCTGGGATCTGAGCTAGTCCCCTCCAGCCCCTCAGAAGGAAGACAGGTACCAAGTGTGCATCATGGTGGGAGGCAGAAACTGGGTGGGAAGGGCCCCAGAGTCGAGACTGGGAGAGGGCGGTGGGTGGGGAGTGTGGGGGGGGCCAGATCTGCTGCAAAAACCAACTCTGATAAATACCAGGCCTTTGGCCTTTGGTCTTTGCAAGAGAGTCCCAAAAAACACACCCCAACGTATCCATTACCATGCCTGGGGGAAAACAATCATTGAGGGAGGGAGAGCCACCCCAGAACGCTAGTCGCACGCGCAGATCACAGACACACAAAGCACCCAGGCACCGCAGGCTGGAGGATTGATTTCCACAGGGGCTCAGCTTTCAGCTGGGTAGAACAAGCCATCACTTCTGGGACTTACAGCCAGTGCAAGGGAACACCGGGTAACAACAGAAACACTGGCGCCTTCCATACATTAATTAATCAGGAACGCAGGATGGCTAAACTCTCAAAAGCACCAGAACAGAAGCTGCTACGAACAGGATGCTGACAGAGATATTACATTAAAAAAAAAAAAAACAACCCACCCAGAAACAGCATCTAGGTTGCTAAAACACCCTCTGCAGTCCTGGGTACCAGAACCTGGGGATCTACCCCTACTCTGAATCTGGTCACTCAGTGTTCCTGGGCAAGCGTGGAAACGAAGCTTCCAGCAAACACACTGGGAATCACTGAGTGAATACTTTCAGATTGTCACGATGGCTACATATAGAGGAAACTTCAATGCAGATGCCTGTCAATATCCCCTTACATTTCCAACGTATCCATTCATCCAACCAGAAGACAGGGCCAAACAGCTTAGTCACCAGCAGGCAGCGCAAATCGCTCTTTCGATAAATCGGGACATAGAGTAAACATGGTCCTCCTCCCCTCCACCCACCTTGAGCACAGATCTCTGCCCGGCGCCTCAGCTCTCAGCCAGATACGGCCCCCCTCCCCGGCCCCCCTCCCCCGGGAGCAGATGGGTGAATTTCCGCAAATCTCCCCCTCCCCCGCGCTCCATCCCCTCCCCACCCCAAGGCTCTTACCTGCTATCCTGAGCACTGCCCTCTCCGCGGGGTCCAGCACCGAGCCCCCGTGGATCTTTCTCTTCGATCTCTCATGTTTAGGCAAATTCCAGGGTAAGGTGTCTCCGGGAGCTGGAGATGCAGAGCCGGATTTCTGACTGAAATCATCCTCGTCGGAAAAATCCGCAGAGGAAGACATGGAACAGCGATAGGACGCGTTGCCGGAACTCTACAGAGGACGACACGGAAAGCAGAATCAGCAGCCAGACACTC